AACACTTTGTGAGCTTTATGTCCTCAATATGGATTTGATCCCAAACACCTACCCAGACAATCAGGTCTTCAGACAACTCATTTGCAGAGCTCATAGCATACCTATTGTATGACAGCTAAACGTGACTAGACCAACAGAAACAAACTCCCTAATGTCTACATTGTTAATTATAGCAGAGAGGTAATTAAGTTAGCCCTTGCTGCTTGGATGTAAGACAACAAGAGAACAATGGCACAGTCTGATAAGAAATGAGAAACACATGCACCAGAGACACAATGGACAGACCAGAACCAGAGCACCATGACTATCTCTCCTTGCTGGCACCAGAGACAATGACAGCCACACTGAGGCAGCCCTAGTGCAAGGAGACGTGGAGATTTCCACCCTCTATTTCCCAATTCAAGCCTAACATCCTCCACCATCCCTGTGACTCAGCTCATTTGCATAATTCTCAGGCTTTCAGGAAGAGATGAAACCATCAGTCTTTGAAACTGAATTTTCTTAACATAATTTTGGGGTGTAAAATACTCCACTGATGTCATTTGCGGTTACTTGCATGTGGTGGTCCTCAATAAAACGAGACAATATAGGAGCAGTAGTCTGCTGAAGCTGGAGTTCCAACATAAACTCCCTAAAATGTCTAAGACATGGAGCCTGAAGGCTAAGTGAGGTAGGGAAGTAGCCAAAAAAATTACCTTGATGAAAGACATCATGTAGCTTCTACCTCCCCCTCAAAGAAGATACAATCATCACTTACATGTTCATCATTAAGAAGGTGATGAATGGCAGAACAAGCAGAAATGGAGCATAGGATGCTTTAAATGTGCTCAAAGCCCAAGTCAGATGTGACTTTTGCATATTCCTTTTGAGAGCTGCAGTAAAGAACCTGCAGTGTGGTGTACAGGGAATCTAGTGACGTGTCTTTCATCAGCCAGCCACAAAGGTAGACTCCACAAGAAAAAGGAGCTATCCCACCTCTCCCTAGAGAATCTAACAATGGGCTCTGGCTCACCACAAACCTGAAATCATCTACACTACAATGGTCACTCTGCAGTGGGAATATACACAGGCTGCAATCAAAAGGTATAAATGAATTCCCCACTGGAAAACACAGAAGCTTCAATTTAAGAATAATACTGTTCAGCTTTCATAACCTAAAGATGTGTCGGGTCTATTTTTGCTTCTTTATACTAGAAAAAAGGAAGCACTGTAAAACTGAAGGACCAGGAAATCACTGTATGACGTTAGAGCTGGAGTTTACATACTTCTCAATAAAAAAGGCAAGAAAATATGCTGTATGAATACACAGATTGAAAGGTACCCAAACCAAGCCCAAGACAGAGCAGATTTCAACCAACCTGTTCATGAGCAACTAGAATAGAAATGATGTCAAAACTTGAGGAAGGAGGAATGGGATTTGCTCATACCTCACAGGCTCACCTTCAGAGGTGTTTTTCAAGATGGGGTGTAAAGAACTCACCCATTACAGATCCCTGCTACACCAGTGTTGTTTATGGCAGCTCTGAAACTGCACTGTCACAATTCCAGCTGAAGTCTGGAAACTGAGGGAAATCCCTGGTAAAGAGAATTTTTTTTAGATCCTGGAAGCAATTTTTAGAATCTGCAAAATACTACTTTTCAATCTTTGAATTAATTTTGAGTTCTGCCCATTTTGTACCAAAATGCTTCTAACCTTTATGGGGTATGTAACAGCTTGCTGCTTGTCACATTGCAAGGTATGAGTTCATACAAGAAAGGACAAGATTGTATACATGATGTTAGGAGCTGTTGGGAGAGAGGTGTAAGAACCAAGGGGACTCTGGCATTCATTGAATGTCTGAAGAATGTCATGGAGTGCAAATATGTCAAAACTGTCATGACAGGAAGAGCACATGGCACTTTCTAATGTGCTAGGAACTGGGGGTTGCCCCATGGGGGGATGCTCTCCTGGACTGCTGAGCACAACCATTACGTGCCAGATGTGTTTTAGCTGAACTAGACTCTCCAGACGCCTCAAGGCTGCAACAAACCCATCAAAGCCTCAGTTTATATTAATAAGCCAATCTTAAATCGGCACACTGCAGGTGCCAACTTGTAAGCAGATCCGCCAGGCCTGCCTCAGGGATGGCAAGATAATTTGGCAGCAAGAACAGCCTCAACCATGTAATTTTTGTCTGTCACCACCAGTCTATCAGAGCTCCAGGCGACCAACTCCTCCTGAGATGAATTCCTGAATGTTTTAGGTCAGACACAGGCAGACAGGCATGAATATGGTCACCCAACCACCCCAGAGCTTGTAGGCTGGAAATGAAGGCACAACCAATGGACACACCATTGTGCTTAGGCAATGAGTACCTGCATGGGCACCTGTATCACACTTTTGGATCTAGGTGTCATTCTATCCATGCAAGACCTGCGAGAGACATGAAAGTTATGGGCCAGGAGAGAAAATAACCTTTCTGCTTGCTTGAATATATGTGCATTTCATCTGATAACATTCAAATCTCTTTAGCTACATTATAATGAGGTTAAAGCAAGAAAAATTTCCCCACCTCAAATATTACAAATGTCAGTAATGAGAACAGTAAAAATGTCACCACACGGAGAAAAGAGTGAAATTAGCATATTTAGAGGAGTATTATACCCATGGGTGAAATAATGCAATCAGCTAGCTGCAAGATAAAGCTAATTTGGTTTCCAACAGTTTATCAACAATACACTGCTCCTTTACATTAACAAATTTAACCAATACCATATCCTGCAAACAAGAATAATTCACACAAAATATTACACTATGTTAATTAAATGCTGGAATAGAAAAGGTCAGGCCATGACTGAAAGATGTGCATATGGGTTGTGAAGCTATGAAAAGATGGAGCGATTTCACATCAGGCAATTAAAATTAATTATTTAAATCATCATTAAGACAATAATAAATACACTTAGATATTTTTGATCCTATTTCAACAGCCACTTTAGTTTGCTGCTGGTTCTCAGAAATTTTTCTTTCTTGTTGACCCATGAAAGAGTAAAATATCTTGAAACCCATCATAAGATGAAGTGTCTTGGATGTTATCAAAGAGTTATCCTGCTGATAGTCAAATTTTCTTTTGACCATGCAAATGTTATCAGGCATGAGATAAGTTATGCAGTTAAAAAACCCCACTTGCCTTATTTCTGTATGGGTTTCCTGCCACTAGAACCATGAAACCTCCACAATTACTACAGTTAATTGAAAAATGTTCAAAGAGAGACGTACTTTTTCACATTGTTTACTTCTACAAATAGCAGCACTTTGTCTTGGGATGAATGCCAGCAAATCACTTAAATTATAGCAGTAACATACCCTTTTTAAATTGAAAGAACATTTTGGCATAGGCTAAACTATGCTGAGGTGGTAATGGATCAAAAAGACTTAGTAAAACGAGGAATTAATCTTATTTGGCGCTCCAAAGCACTACCAGAATATATAATCAGTCTGAATCTCACCCTATGTTTTTACTGTATTTTTATAACTACAGCTGTACACAGCAGCCTCAAATTTGAGTTTGCTGTATGTCCCATTATTTAATTGTCCGTGAATTTTATTTTTTCTGGGGCATTTCCTGAACTTTTGTAGACAAAATACAATTTTCTTTTGATCATAGTTCTGCTGATTTCAGTCAGCATATACTTCCTTGTTGCGCTTTCAGTCTAGGAAACTGAGCTGCATGGACTAAACAAAATGTGATGTCTGTTATGTTCTGAGAAGAATTCCATGGGAGTCTGAGGTTTTGACTGCAAAATTGTGTGATGATGGCCATGTGTAAAATTCAGCTGTGCACTGCCCAGCACATCAACAGTTATGACACTGACACTGGACATAAAACCAGCCTGTGGGGATCCCACTGTTCAGCTCTCCTCATTTAATTACATGGGAATTTATCAAGCCAACTTCCAGACTTCGTGACAGAATGCCTAATCAAGCCACACTGAAATACCCAATTTTTTAGGGAATGTGAAGCACTATGCAGCATACGAGCCATTAATTTTATGACAAGTACAGATGGTTGATATACATATAAATTCTCACGTAACCTAATCTAATCAATATATACTTCAATCTATTTAAATTATAATACTAATGAGCAAGGTGTTCCCCATATGACGGTATATTCACACGAATTATTTTAAATGGATTTCTATGCATGTTGTATCTGAAGCCTGCTATTGTTTCCCTCTCAATTCGGACCACGGTTGATTTGTATCCACCAAAACAACACGACTTCCTGCTCCCTTTAAGAGGCTCGATACCCGAGGGATGCCCTGCTGCAGCACCTCACGCTGCGGTGAGGGGCCCGCGGCCGGCAGGAACGTGTGGGAGGAGCTGCTGGAGAGGCTCGGCGGGTCCGGTTATGGCCTCGCGTCAGCCGCCGCTTCGCCCTCCCCCTATCCGCCCTCGTCCCTGGAGCCACGCCGCGCTGGGGGCACCTACCCGGCGCGGGGGGACGGCAGCTCCGCGCCCCGGCCATGCTCCGGTGGCTCTGCCTGCGGGGCGGCTCGGGCGGGCCTCGCCCGGCACCGCCTTCGGCGGCGGAAGGGGCAGCGCGGCCCGGGAGCCGCGGCGGGGCGGAGCCGCCGGCAGCGTGACGGCCGGAGCGCCCCGGCCCTGCCGGTGACACCGGGCGGCCGCGCCCGCGGGCCGCCGCGCTCCTGCCCCCGGCTCCTCTGCCCCGCTCCCCGCGGGGCGGCGGCGCGGTGCCTTCCCCGTCCCGCACACCCCCACTGCCCGCCGGCGCGGCTCCCTCCCCGCGGGCGGCGGGCCCGGCTCTCCTCCGCGGCGCCGGTTCCCTCCTCCCCTCGCCGGCGGAGGAAGGAGGCGGCCGCCGGCCCTCCCCGACCGCGCATGCGGCAGTGCCGGGCCGGGGCAGCGCTGCCGCGCTCGGGGGCTGAAGTGTGGGTGTCCCTTCCCCCGGCCCCGTCCCCTCCTCCCCCGCGGGCCCCCGGCAGCGTCCCCGCAGATGGGCTTGGGCTGGAGCAGCGCGGAGGAGCGGCGGCCCCTCCTGCCGCCGCCGCCGCAGCAGGCGCGGCCGCAGCCGCGGGTCCCGGCGGGGGTCCCGGCGGGGCGGCCGCCGCCGCTGTCGGGCCGCGTGTACGGGCGGCGGTGGCTGGTGCTGCTGCTGTTCTCGCTGCTGGGCTTCGCGCAGGGCCTGGTCTGGAACACCTGGGGCCCTATCCAGAACTCGGCCCGCCTGGCCTTCGGCTTCAGCGGCTGGGACATCGCCCTGCTCGTCTTCTGGGGGCCCATCGGCTTCGCACCCTGTTTCTTCTTCATGTGGCTCATGGACAAGAAGGGTGAGCGGGGCCGGGGGCGGCGGGGCCGGGGGTTCGGGACTCCCCGACCCGCTCCTGTGGCTTCCCCCGGGCCAGGCGGGCACGCCGTGGCCGTGTCCCCCGGCGCCGCGGGCCTGTGGCCGGTGAAGGGGACGCTGCCGGACTGGGGACACTCGGGCCCACTGGCCTCGGCCTTAAAAACAGATGACTAATACTTAAAAGGCATCATGACTTCTGTTTTCAGTGCTCTGCCCAAACGAAGACACATCAAAGTCCATTCACAAGGAAGATACTTAAGCTAAACGGAATTAGGGCATCTGACGTCGCATGGGAGGTTTGGGTCTGGAGTAGTGTGTTCCAGTCCGGCATTGCCATCCGGCTGTTTGACCTGGAGATGGCCGTGATTTCTGGTTACCATCTGGGAACCAAACACGTTTTGATGATTCGATCAAGCAATGCCATTGCTCAGGGTGGCCATTGCATCTTGAAAGAAGTTCTTCATTTTTAAAAGCAGGCTGGATATGAAGTCTGTGGTTTTCTTTTCATTGTGCTAGGGAGATCCAAAGACAGGGAACACAGAGAAGTTGTGCTTTGGTGTTTCGAAGAGGAGTACAAGGGAGAGTTTCCTAATTTGTGTTCAGGCTGTTGCATCTTGGTAGCAAACTTACAAAAAATGGAGTTTGTCTCTGGAGAACTTCTCCAGGGTCTGCGTGGTTCCTCTGTGGTCACCCAGGGGACCATTCCAATGAGGTCAAGTAGATATATTTGCAGATTTCAGCTTTTGACCTAAATCCACTGAAGGGATTTCTTTTAATTCCTGTTTAAACAGTCCTCTAAACAGGAGATAGGCACCAGTGGACCCTTGTGGCTCCTGATCCTAAGTGCTACTTATTCCATTTATTTAGGAATTGGTAGCTCATTTGTGGGAAGGGAAGGTGAAGAGGAAGGGAAAGGGAAAGCAGGCAGGGAGAAAAGTTGTATTTAAGAAGGCCTATTTCAAAACTGGAATTACTTTTCCTAAAACTGAAGAGGCATTGGGGAAATGAAATTTACTGGGCTGAAAGTACATTCTGGAAATGAGTCCATGGTGGCTGTACATTCCAGTGTTCTCTCAAGCAGTTTAGACTTAAGTTGGCAATATCTGTCTCGACTGATACATAATAGTATTGTTAATTATCTTAAAATTAAAGCAAGTTATTCTTGTTTGTACAGTGAAGACTGCTCATGGCATGAAGGAAATAAAGGTAAATGTGAACCTGTGCTTAGAGAGCTGAGTCTGTATTTTTATTTCTACATTTTCTATGAAGTTGATCCTGAGCAATGCAAAATAATACTGGAAAAGTTTTGAAGTTTTGAAGCAATTAATGGGAAAAAAAACCTTTAGTATTTTGTTCTTTTATATTATGATTAGTGGTGTAGTTGTGGGATTTCTTGGTTTCACGTATAGGTTGTTTTGATGGGAGTATGTATACTGGTGTTTTTTTTTTTTTTCATTTCCTTAACTGATTGCTTTGGATGGCTTTTTTGGTTGGTTTTTTTTTTTTTTTTTTTTTTTTAAATTCCCATGTTTGCTCTTGGTTTGTTGCTTTCGTTGTGGAGAGAATGTTGGTAGGTAACCTGAACAGAGCATCTCAACTCATTTGGCTGTGTGAGTAAGGAGTACTTATGGGCGCTGGAGCAAGTTCTTTCCAGATCAGCAGATTTTGTGAGGGCCCTGATTGTTTTCTGATATTTGTTTCATGCTGTTTTCTGAATCTGGGTGGTTCCCACAGAGAATGTGGCGCTGTTCACTTTGGATGATGGAGTCCTGTCACTTGGTTCATCATGGAACAGTGAGGAGAACTCAGGAGAACTGAGTCCTGAGTCAGCATGGGGCACGCTCCGCTAGAGGCATGTTGTGGGGAGTTACCTGCTCTTTGGAGTACGTGTTTTCCAGGAGATTCTTGACTCTATTGCTTTGCAGCCGTAAAGTTGGTTGAATCTGATCTTGCAAGGGTAGTATTTCACTTGCTTGCTGTTACGCCAGATTTACAGTGAAGAAGCTACACCATTTACTCTTTAACTTCAATCATTTGTCAGTGGAGTTAGCTAGTAAAGGAGCTGTCAGGAAAAAATGTATTTGTGAAGTGTCAACGTGTAAAACCTGGCAAGTATCAGAAGTGTGACATTGTAGATGAGGCATGTCAGAATCTGAGAGGAGATTGTGCTGTTAGATAGTCCTATACTTCAAAGTCAGAGGTAAATCTAACTGATAAGTAGCTGCCTGCTGTTACTTAATCTGATTTTGGGTGATGATGCTTCAGAAGAAGTTCAGAAGTATTGGTCTTTTTGGTTTTTGGTTGTTCATTTGCAGCACATAGTTGCATAAATCTGTATCCATACCAGACTTCTTTTGTGCATTTTGTGCACCTGCTCCTTATTTCAGTACTGGTTGTAAAGGTTTGGTCACTTTTTTCTCCTTTTTTTCGATTCTTAACTAATTGGAAGTTGAAAGAATAAATATTCATGAATAGGCATGTTAATGGTACAAGAAGCATTTTCTTGGATTCTGTGATCCAGTTCCATTATAGCTTCTCAGAGAAGTGTGGAGCCCTCTCAGAAGAGACAGCAGCAGTGTTTATTTTTAGTGAGATGTGTGCTAAATAAGCTCTTTTCTTCAGTTCTGTACAGAAGGGTTCTAGGAGGGAGGAATTACATTTTTTTTTGGTTTTCTAACCTCAAAAGGGTTATTGACCTTTGTGACCTTTTTCCTTCTGGCCTGCTGAGAGTATCTCCTGGATTCATTCTAAAGGCCTGGTTGCAGCCAGCCCAAGCTAGGCAATTGGAGAATGGCAGGAATACATGGACTGGGAAAGGTGTCACTTCTGGCTTCCCAAGGAATACTTCTAGCGACTGTACCCCTCCCCAGAGGATGACCCAGAAGGGATCTTGCCAGAAGCAGCATGACAAAGTCTTGGTTTGCTGAAGGCTGTATTCCTGTGGATCTGTAGAGATACCTTGTTTTTTATGAAGTTGAGGATAACTTTTCATCAGGAAGGTAGTGCTGGTCTTCACAAGGCTTCACAAAGAATATCTTACTTGAAGATCTGAGCAGACTCAAGAGAAGACATTTTTTGAAGGGTGTTCAAAAGTGTTTTAAAGGGTCTTTGAGGTGCTGGAGGAAGCCTGGATTTAGCCCATGTCATTGTAAACCGTGTACACTGAAAGCTACTTTGTGGTTTTGCTGAGCTCTTGTCCTCAAAAATAAATTTGTTTTCAGATGCTAGTGAGGTTCACATATCACAGCTGAAAGTTCTTTGGGGAATGAGCTCTGTTCCTGTTCCTGCCTCCCCTTACTCTGGCTGAATTGTGCCAGCCTCTGGCCACCCCTGGGGGTTTCCATGTTCCTTGGCTGGGTGCTGTATAAGGACAGTGGTGGCATCTGTCACATTTCTTAATCCTGTTCTGGGATGGGTGCAAGTTGAAAATCAGGAATTATATTTGCATATGTCACTTTTGAGTATGTGCCATTTTGGGTGGATTTGAAAACTCTTTTCTGTGTGTAGGATTAGAAGTGTTGTCTTGGTTGGTTTCTTAGAGAAGAAAGGTGAAAAGATAGAGGGTGCCATGGAGCTACATGTGTCTTATTTGGTGCATTTTCTTTAGCAATAGGATTAGAGAGTCCTTGTTTAAATTCTAATTATCTTTAGAGATTTAATAAGATTGAAATTAAATGGGAAATTACTTCAGTGTGCTATTGGATGGACCCTTGTTGTTTACATGATTAAAATTAGCCACAATGTGTCACATGATGCTTGAGTGTTTATGTACATTTTGTGCCTTGAGTGTTTGATTTCCTGAGAACTGTAAATACAACCACACAGGACTGTTAGGATGTTTATATGTCTAACTTGAAATCAAAAGCTTACATGCTTCCCTGGATCTGGTTCACCAAGGGTTTTACTAAGCTCCTAGTTACAAAGTGAGACCTAGAAGCAATATATGTCAGTCTTCATTATGTTCCCATGTAAGCAAGAAGAGGCAATGAAGAATGAAATATTTTATGATAGTTTACATTAAACAAATGGAATAGAATGGTGATATTTTTCATTAATTTTTAGAATACAGTGAACAGTTTTATATTGAATTTGAAGATGAGACATATTACTTGTAAAAGTGGAATGTAATCTATTTCTTGGTCCTTTTTATAAAATTATATATGCTTATGTGGGTTGCATAGACAATCTTAGTAACTTTATTTTGCTGAAATTGAATTGACGCAGCAGTGTTATTCTAGTGATTATATTATGAAGTAGAGAGAAAGCTTCAATATTCAGATTCTGGTTTTAATCAAGATTGGCTTATCCATTGACACCATGAAAGTTTTTATTTGTAAGAGTAGATATTCCTTTCATGAACACCAAACTCTCTATTTTATTGCTGTCTCCTAAGTCAGGCATCTTGGTTTCCTTCTCTGAAGACATTTGATAGTTCTTTCTCTTCCACTTGGGAATTTTGAGATTAAGTCCTTTAATGCAGTCTGACAAAATTGTCATGAATATTGAGTACAAGTACTAAATCAGAACTTGCTAATATAAAAAATGCTCTTAATAATGGTTCTCCCTATAAAATAAACTACACATGATGCATAAACAGAACTGTGCATGGCAGCTTTCATGGTTGGAGTTCCTGGATTGTCACTTGGTGCTGCGTGCGTACGCTGGTTTTGCTTTCAGGGGACCTTTGGATACCCCTACCTCACATACAGGGTCACTGGGACATAAGGGAGGTGACTCCAAGTGAACTTGTTTTCTCCCAAGTTTTTTGTCTAGGAGGTGTTTGTGACATGCCTTTGTGTTTATTTTGCAAGATGTGAAGGTGGACACAGAGAGAAAACAGGCTGTTGTTCTAGAAGTTGAAAGCATGAATGGCCAAGTGAATCCAACAGGTGGGGAAGATTTTCTTAAGTGTTTCCATTATGCTTGGCATTTCAGAGTCCTTCTCTGTCATTCAGGCTTTTGAACAATGTAAATATAAATTGG